TTTACTTGACCATTTTTTGTCCTGTTTATGAAAATCGAAACTCTAAGGTCTAAATTAACATCTAAAACTTGATCAAGCAAAATTTATTGACGATGTCATTTTTGCAACCCCAATAAATCAGTGAACAGCTTATAGCATATGCTTGTAAGCAAGAGGAACAAACAGGATGATGAAAAAGTATATATATATCTTCAAACAAATTTGTTGATATGTAGGCCGGCCGACTATTACACAATTTTTTTTTGCGGCTGGCCACTAAACCATTGGTGGAAATCACACCAACATAATGATGATATACGTTTGTTTCAGAGGTTGTGGATTTAAAAAAAAAAAAAAAAACCCAACTCTTTCAGCGTATTTCATCTTGCTTGTTTTCTCCACTTTCCCGTTTCCCGTAGCTTATCACTGTGAATTTCTTCTTCTGATTCCATCATCACTCTTTTTCATTGGCACTCTACTCTATCCTTCTTCCATGTCACTTTCAACAAATAGTTGAGAAAAATAAAGGTGTGAAAAAGTTCTGTTCTCTAAAATACATCTTTCGATCTGTTCTCCTCATTCCTTTTTACCTATTTACTGTTCTCTCGATCTTCAAGTGTATATAGCACGGATAAAATTCAATCGATCATCATCATCATCATCATCATCATCATCATCATCATCATCATCATCATCATCATTCGTTAGAAGCATGAACCCTACTTCTGCATTACCTCCACATGGAACAAATAAGTGGTTTTATGACGTTTATGACGGAATTCGATACTGCATAGAGGGAAAAATGAAAAAGTTTTCACCCTTGTTTCTCGCATTTGGAGAAGCAAAACGTCGATTTGGAACAAAAGTTTACTTAAAAAGGAATTTCATCACTATTAAATTTAATTCATATAGAATATAAAACTTAAAGGATTTAATGCAAAAATCAATACTGTGCTAACTGCATACTCAGAACTCAAAACTTATAATCATTTTTAATGATCTACCATGCAAGTAAGTTAGTTTAAATGAAGTAGGTTTTATATTGTCTGTGTGACAGATAATTACTTAATTGGTGATCGGCGAAAATAGCTACTAGTTAACATTAACTTGGCGATGATAGCTGAAGGTGAAATGACCTCTTCTCTTTTTGTACGATACATTAGTCATTTCAAACTTCTCTCTATAGGTAAATTATGCCGACAGCAGATCTTTGGATGCCTATCCTTATAGATTCCGCATTATTTTCAGCATTTGATTCATCATTAATAAGAGGTTGAGTCCAATCATCTCATATCCCCAGATGATTCGGTGATTGCTTTTGATTCATCGTATTTATTAAAATTTTTTTCAATTATCAGTAATTTGGTACCAACGAGAAAATCATTCTTCATTATAGAGATGATATGATTTGAAATAAATGAAAGAATAATAGATTGAAAAAAGTTAAAATGAAAGATTTGACAAAATTTCCAAAATTATAATTCATCAGTTTTTAGACACCAGAAATATACGGTATTTACTACAGGACAGCAATGTGAAACGAAGTATGAGGGATAATAGAAAAATACATATTGAAATAAATGACGTATGTGTTCAATAAGGTATTGTTTTCATATGTAGCCATATATAAGTAAATAAGGCGAAGATCAGTGAGCGAAAAAATGCAAAAATTACTTGCTCTTTCAATAATGGAAAAGTGTTGGAAGCAAAAGAATGCAAAAATGCTGGAATTTTAAAGGCGTTTTTATTGCTAAAAAGATTAACATCTATGTTATGGAAAATGCAAACATAGTGTATTCACCTCACCCCTCCTTACTTCATCCTCTCTTCCTTTATCCTGCCCTTCCTGTTGATGTCAATTCAATTAGTGACCAATCTTTCATTCAAAATATTTCCTAAATTTTGCTTTTTTAATAATATTTGATGAAGGAATTCACTTTACTAAAAGTATCATTAACATGAGAAATCCTCAAAATATCGGCAGATGGGAATGATGCGAACGCAACTATTACAGAATGGATTTTATTGAACAATCGTTTAAATTGGACGATTCTCTAACTATTCATATTAAGCGCATTAACGCTGGAGGTTATTTTCCATTAAAATCAAACTAATAAGTCCACCGTGTTGTAATAGAAATTCTAACTTATTGCACCTGTAATGATTTCATATGATGGATTTATTATTATTATTATTATTATTATTATTATTATTATTATTATTATTATTATTATTATTATTATTATTATTATTATTATTATTATTATTATTATTATTATTATTATTATTATTATTATTATT